TAATATTTATTATGTTTTAGTTCTCGGCGGACACAACATCTTTGTTGGTATGTGGTGCTGAGGATCGAACCCGGGCCGCACGCATGCCAGGCCAGCACACTACCGCTTGAGCCACATCCCCAGCCCCAGGATCTCATTCTTATAGCTGCATAGTATTCCATTATATAGATGTATAATTTATTTAACTACTCCCTTATTGCTTATGGTTTTCATATTTTGGAATTATAAACTTATGCTGTAATAGACACCCCGTGTTACATTTATTTTAATATATATGTTAGTGTTTCTAATAGTGTTACAATTTTTAACAATTAAATTTTTTTTTCAAATATAACTTGGATGTGATTGAGTAGGAATGGATACCTGAGAAAGCAGTTTCCACAGATGTTCTTCATTTCTGAAAATTAGAACACAGTTGTTCAAGGAAAATCAAAACACATTTTCATCTTATTAATGTGTTTACTTGCTTATATTATAGGTAAAGAAGCTTCTTAATAAAGTAGTTCTCCGTGAATCTTGCTTTTATCGGAAATTAACAGACACTTCAAAAGATGAAGAAAACCATGAAGAGTCTGAATCATTGCAGGAAGATATGTTAGGTTTGAGTATATTGAAATGTTGCTTTTTTATAAATATTCATTAGTTAAAAAAGAGAAAAAATCTTACTAAAGTGTATTGTCTTTTATTATAGGAAATAGGTTGTTACTGCCAACACCAACAGTAAAGCAGGAATCAAAGGATGTGGAAGAAAATGTAGGACTCATTGTGTACAATGGTGCAATGGTTGATGTAGGAAGCCTTTTGCAAAAATTGGAAAAGAGTGAAAAAGTAAGAGCTGAAGTAGAACAGAAGCTGCAGTTACTAGAAGAAAAAACAGGTGAGGGACAATATGTATATGTTAGTACTTTTAAAGCCCTGTTTGTGTGTGTGTGTGTGTGTGCACGCACACACATACCTCACATTTTGCTCTGGACAGTGTGTAACTCTACATTCATCTGTTTCTATTGGAGACAATAAAATCACTTAGTTTTATAAGAATTTTTCTTGTTCAGTGGGGTGTAGTGGGGCATGCCTATAACTAGGGAGGCCGCTGTAGGAGGATCACAAATTTGAAGGCAGCTTAACAAGACCCTGTCTCAAAAGTAAAAAGGGCTGGGGAGGTATCTTGGTGGATATTAGTTGTTCATTCTCAGGTTCTCTTGATATTCTGTTCTATCCTTTCAGACCTCTGCTAGTTCCACTTACTTTTTACTGGTTCCTATTTTCGCAGTTTGTGCAGTCATCTAWAAATTGAAACTGGGTTTAGAAATACTAGTACTTAAAACTTAATTTCAATAAAAACAGTATTGCATTGTGCTTTAGGTAACTAATGAAGTTGGTATTTATGGGCATTTTAAAGAATTGCATCTGTTTTTTATTTTCATAGCTTAAGTATTTTTAACCTCAAGCTATACTGGAAATTATAGGGGTTCAAGTGGTTTGTTTTGGACTTTTTTTTTAATAGATGAAGATGAAAAAACCATATTAAATTTGGAGAATTCCAACAAAAGCCTCTCTGGTGAACTCAAAGAAGTTAAAAAGGACCTTAGTCAATTACAGGAAAACTTAAAGGTTTCAGAAAACATGAATTTGCAATTTGAAAACCAACTGAATAAGACAATCAGAAACTTGTCTACAGTAATGGATGAAATCCACACTGTTCTCAGAAAGGTTTGAAATTTTGTACCTTCAGCATTTTCAGAGTTAGGGTTAGGGTTATTTATAGCATTTTTAATGTACTTTAATGTTATTTTGCTCTTTGTAAAAGCTTTTCCTAGAAGCAAATGATAGCATTCCATCTTCTTGAGACTAGTCAAAAGTAATTCGCCAAAGATTATATTTTTCTAAAACTTAATGGTGAATGTCAGTATGGTTTATGTGTACAGATTTTTTTTTTAGTTGACCTCAAATTTATTTGTTTATTCACACAGATTTCAGATATGTTATTGTATTTAATCATCACAGTATCCCTATTAGTTAAGCATTGTTTTATTTTTTTTAAATACACGACCGCAGAATGCATTTACAATTCTTTTTTTTTTTAATCATAGGTATGATTTATTTATTTATTTATTTATTTTTAGAGAGAGAGAGAATTTTAATATTTATTTTTTAGTTCTTGGCGGACACAACATGTTTGTTTGTGGTGCTAAGGATCGAACCCGGGCCGCACGCATGCCAGGCGAGCGCTCTACCGCTTGAGCCCCATCCCCAGCCCTTACAATTCGTATTACACATATAGAGCACAATTTTTCATATCTTTGTATATAAAATATGTTCACACCTGTGTGTACAGATTGTCTGAAGCAAATGTTGAACTGGAGATGTGGCTCAGTGATAGAGTGAATGCCTAGCATTATGTGAGGCCCTGTGATTAGTCCCCAGCACCACAAAATTTATTTGTATTTCTTTCTAAACCAAAGAGTATTTTTGAACTAAGATATGAAATCATTTGGTTCTTTTAAATCATTTATCGTGAGGCAGAATTTAGGAAAATTCTTTGGCATCAGATATTAAAATGAATTTATTAGTATTTTTTAATCACTATAAAAATTTTATAATTGAATTACATTATAAAATGCCTTCAAGTAACGTATCAGAAAATCTAATAAAATATACCTTTTCCTTATCTATTATTTTACAGGATAATGTAAAGAATGAAGACAAAGATCAGAAATCTAAGGAGAATGGTGCAAATGTATGATAAAATTTGTGTCGTGATGAAAAATGCTGTTAAATAATGTAATATATAAAAATCATGATACAAGAATGTTTGAAGGTGATGCATGTTTTAGTAGTATAAATTCTGTTAGTTCAAATGATGTATAAAGTTTTATGAATGTTGAGTCTGCTTTTGAAAATTGCTTGTAATTTCTAGCATTCAAATTATTAAACACTCCTTGAGTGAAATAATTTTGCATTGCAAAATGTTTTAGGATGAACTTTGTTATAGTTTTAACCCCAATAAAGTTCATCAATTTACTTGACAGTAGTATTTAATTACCAAATGTCTTTTATTAAAATGCCTAAATTTTTTTTTTGTTTTTTTATGCATAAAAGTTTTTTATTTTATTTATAGAATTATCATTATTTACCTTTTAATTTTATGGTCCATCTTTTAAAACTTCACTATAAATCATAAAATAGCAAGCTGCTTAATTTTTGGACCAGAAATATTTTTACTTTTCACCAAAAATCCCCTCTAGTTATCAATATCTAAAAACATTGTTAAAAATTCAGTTCACCCAAAAGACAGTTCATTAAGAACTAAGAAAGCAGTAGACAACTGGTATTGGTATTTTGGTTGTTAGGCTTTACGTAAAATTCATAGACCTGATGTTAATGTTAACTGTTAACTGCTTTCAATTAATTGTTCTACTTTCCCAGAGTAGCACTTCTATTACTTTTAATTATGAGGGTTTCTTTTTTAAAAATTAAGTGTATGTCAAATGTACAGTTTAGTACCAAACCAATAGATGTCAGTATGATGCCTTAAGTTTAATTAAAAATAATTTTTTTTCTTAGTCTGTGTATGTACTTAAGAGTTTCAGAGGTGTTTAAGAGTTCATGTAACTGTTGAGTGAAAAAAAGAAGGAAATGTGATGTGTTCTGCAACAGTGGTTCTCAACAGGATGTGTATTTATCCTTCAGAGGGCATTTGGCAATGTCTGGAGATCTTTTTAAGCAATTGGGTGGGGGGCTACTAGCATCTATTTGTTAGAGACTAAGAATGCTGTATAGGACAGTCCCCCAAGATGAGGAATTATTCAGTCCAAAATGCCAGTAGTGCCCAATTTGAGAAATCCTGCACTTAAGGAATATAAGGTTAAACAACATTTTGTCTTTGTAAAGTAATACTTAGGGAAAACTTAGCTGAATCTGTAGATGATTATTTTTTTATACTTATAAAACTCGAAGTGGAATGTTTTGCTCTCGTAAAAATTATGTTATATTAGAGTTTATTTCATTTTGTTTTACTCTTTCATTTTGATAGAATAATGGCCAAATATTCTAAATAGGTGAATATGAGACTTAATATGTGACTTAAGTCAAGTGGAATATCCATATGGCTCTTACTGAGGAATGGATTAAAACTCTTCAAATTCTTCAAACCATTTTTTGTCTTAAATTGATATTTCTTCTCTTCAGGTCTAGTTGAACCGCTCCAAAGTCACTTTACTTCTTGAGCCATAATTATATCATTAATATGTAAATGTTTCTTCATTGTTGAGATGAGAGGAAACTGTATAGGTTTTTTAGTTTGTTTTTTGGTACTATAGGGATTTAAACCAGGGTCGGATTTTATTTTCTTTTCTGAGACAGGATCTTGCTAGGATTGCCCAGACTAGCCTCAAAACATGGGATCCTCCTGCCTCAGCCTCCCAAGTAGCTGGAATTACAGGTGTGTGCCTCCATGCCCAATAAATTATATGGAGGTTTTTAAAGCAAGCACTTTACCTCAGAGTTATATCCCCAGCTCTATTTTATTTTGAGACAGAGTCTTACTACGTTTCCCAGGCTAGCCTTGAATTTATAGTCCTCATGCCTCTCCCTCCCAAATTGCTAGGATTATGAGTTGGTATTGTAGCTTGCCTACCCTGTGAGAAACTCTGGGTTCAACCCCTAGTACTGCAATAAGGAAAAATGTGGTTTACCAATCTGCTGAGATTGCCATATGCCACTGCAGCTGATAGGAAACTTTTAACTAAAAGATAGTAATGATAGAGTTCCTGCAAAAGTATATTTTTAAATGAAAAATCAGGGCTGGGACATGGCTTCGTGGTACGCCACTTGACTAGCTTACATGACGCCCTCATTTAAATACTCTAATAAGAGAGAGATCATACAAAGCCCAACTATCAGCTTTATTTTTGTACAATAAATTTTAAATAAGCATAAAGTAGGTATTATGGAGGAAGAATCTAAACCTTCCAATTTTATTTTTACTTACAGATATAATTTCTTTTTTTAAATGTAATTTTTTAAGACACTAGGGATTTAATCCAGGAGTGCCCTACCACTGAGCTACATCCCTATCGCATTTGTATTTTTCTTTTGAGACAGGATCTCACTAAAATTTGACCAGACTGCCAATTAAGTTTCTTGTAAATGAGTGTCATCCCCTGGAGTAACAAAGGAGTAGTCCTAGCAGAAGAGGTAATTTGTGCTTCTCTTTCTCAATGAAATTGATGATGAACTGTCAAAAGGAACAGTAAACTACTTGGTAGAAATAAATCCGACATCTCTTTTGTTGTTAAATTAAAATTTAATTTCATGATTTGGTGCCAGACTGTTTGGATAAGCAAAGTGTAGGCCATGATGCTTTGAAAATATTCAGCGAAGCCATTAAATAAAAATTGAAAATAACCCAAAGAGTTAATGTTATGGGTTGTGTATCTTTCAGAATATTTGGAATACATTCTATAAACAATTTGGAGAAATGGATAAGGGAAAAGAACTTAGTGTAGACTCAGTTAAATGATACTTAAATCACTTATTGGAATTGAAAATATCAGGTGGTTTTGGTAATAATCTAATAAAACATCTGATTTTGGATGACTCCAATTTTTATAGGTTTTTTCCTTTCTTTTTTTGACACTAGTGATTGAATCCAAGTGTACTTAATATCTGGGCCACATCCCTAGCTAGACCTTTTTTAGTTTTTATTTTGAGACAGGGCCTCACTAAGTTGCTGATAAATAATCTCAAACTCGCACTCCTTCTGTCTTAGCCTCCTGAGTCACCAGGATTACAGGTATGCACCAGCAGTTTTTTGAGTTTATAGTTTGTTTTTTACATAATTGACCTCAACAGTTAAAATTGTGTTCCAAAATTGAATTCCAAAAGTTGTGTCAAAAATAAACAGAACTTCATGTGCCATGGTATACACCTATAATTCCAGCAGCTCAGGAAGCTGAGGCAGGAGGATTGTAAGTTCAAAGCAAGGCCCTAAGCAACTTAGCAAGAACTTGTCTCAAAATAAAAAGTGAAATGTAGGCTAGGGATGTGGCTCAGTGGTTAAGCAATTCTGGGTTCAGTCCTGGGTATCAAAAAAAAAAAAAAAAAAAAACAGAACTAACTAACCCCAGCTCCATGTCGTAGTACCAGCCTGTAGACTAGCTACTGAGCAACGTAGTAAGACCGTGTGTTAAAAACAAACAAGCAACTAACCCAAGGCTCTTTACAACTTACTTTTAATTAATTGTAATACTTTAGAAAATATTTTCTAAGTGAAAACTTAAAAAATATGTAAAGACCCTGAAATGGATGAGCCAGACCAAATTGTACAGATTAGTTGTTATCCTCTCTGTGCACCCTGATATCTCCTAATAATACCACATGTCACCATATAACTACACCTCATCCCTGGCACATATGCTTGAATTTCAAAGAACATATCAGCAATTGTGTGACTTTGGGCCATTTTTTCTTAAAACTCAAGAGTGATCAGAATATAGGATTATACCTTTGTTTAAGTGCCAGACTTTGGGAACTTTTACCAGAAGTGTACTAAGGAGGGAAGAGAAAGATCCGTATTGTATTTTTAGTAAATCTTAATGTTTACATTCAGCCTCAGTGAGGACAAGTGAACTTGGACCTGAGTCCCCAGGCATTGTCACTCTTTAAAATCTCAACCCTTGGCAACTTCCCTGTATTTCAGTTCAGGGGGAAGTCTCAAGTGTCTTAGTCCCGTAGGCCACAGAGCTCTAGCAGAGAGCAAAGGGATGAATAGGAATTATTTTTGTCACAGTGACAGTATAATTGTGTTATACCTCACTACAGAGTTGGTCGCTTCTTTCTGGTAAGAAAGTAATATTTATGTAGAAAGTGAAACAATGTTCTGGAAGTGGATGATTTTCTGCTAAAGGTATTTATATTGTTAAACAGATGGAGTTGGCATATTAGAATGTGAATAAAATGTGTAATAATTGTATTAGGGAATCTACCCCTGAATAATGTTCACTAGCCATTAAAGCATGATGAAAACATCACGCTACTTGTACATAGCAAATAGCAAAGATTTTTTCTTTAGATACCTGAATATGTACTAATTCCAGCAAGAAAGAAATTTTATCTTCAGTGATTGACTGGTTCCAGGCCAACCTTGGTAAGTTCTCTGGTGATGAGTGATTCCTGAGAAACTTCTTGGAGCTGAATCCCCTTAGCTAGTTAGAACTCTAAATACTGGTTAGAATGTCAAAAATATGATAGTAGGAACTGTAAGTTCCCTTCCATGTGGTCTTTCTGGCCCAGCATGCTTCTTTCCCCCACCTCCTATACTGGAGGTTGAGCCCAGAGATACTCTACATCCCCAACTGTTTTTATTTTGAGACAAGGTCTTGGTAAATTACTGAGGCCACCTCTAATTTAAAATTCTCTTGCCTTAGCCTTCTCAGTCACTGAGATTATAGGCATGTACCACTATGCCCAGCATAAACTTGGCTTAAACTGGGAACCTTTTGAAAGAAAAGGGGGTTGCCAAAAATACCTACATGACACCAGATACTGTCCAAGGCAAAGTGGAAGATAGGGTTTATGCTTATTTACTTTTTACTTTAGGGATAATATTGACGTTTTGGTGTTCACTAATTTAAAAAAACTAGCCTCAGGGGCTGTAGTTCAGTGGTAGTGTGCTTGCCTTGCAGGAGCGAGGCACTGGGTTCAAGCCTGAGCACCACATAAAAATTAAATTAATAAAGATATTGTGTGTCCATC